GCTTCACACAATCACTTAGTTTATTTCGATTAAATGAACTTACTTTCACATTAATTTTTAATTATAATAATTGAATAATTCAGCACTGATTATATAAAGGAAACACTCAAATAAAACCAACAATAAAATTACTCAGCGATTGCGTAACGTGTGAACTGGGCAACGATCGACGAACGACTGGCTCGAGCTTGCGCTTGCGCTGCTTTATATATCACTCGGTGGTGGGGTTGAAGTGACGTCGGTCAGTTGTTTGTTCACTGCTCGCCCATTACATTCGCAGTTTACAAAATAATGACGGCGGCGCCGACACACCTAATAAGAATATCATAACAACATGTCGCATAAATAATACAAAATGTTATTTGAGAAAAGGAGAATATTGCAAATGTTTGTCGAGAAACCACTTCTTGAGAATCTTATTAAGATAATAAGATAGAATCTTGAAAAATACTTGGAAAATATATTTATTCGTCCCACTATGCGCCTGTTCATTTTCAACATTTTATTGTAGGTAGTGTTGTCCGTAATTTAAACAACTTTGCAATATTTATTATTGATAGTCGACAGCTGTTTCGAAGAAAATCTATTTCAATTTCAAACCTTTTTAATAAATGCAACCTCTTTGTAAATAATTTGCGGCTAATAATTTTAGAAATGTAATACTGCTTAACAAGGAAAATTCATATAAAATACTTTTAGATCAAGCACTCATGTGCTTGATCTAAAAGTACTTTTAGATCAAGTAAAAATAGATAACAAAGTGCCATTATTTCACAATTTAACATAACATAATATCACGTCTTTATCCCCGAAAGAGTAGACAGAGGTGTACATTACGGGCTTTAATGCCACTGTAACACCCACTTTCACTATTTATGTTATGAGAATCATGTAATCGGGGGTGAGTCTAGAGGTATTGCCATATGCGCCGGGCACAATTCAAGACTCCGTTCCTACTATTGATTTTTTTTTATAAACCTTGTAATACTTTGCCTACCCGGGAATCGCACCCAAAACCCCTTGCCCGACAGACGCACTTGTAACCACTCGGCCAACGAGGCAGTTAATAGCATGGGTATTCATTCAATTAAGTGGGTAATGAATAAATAAATTTAAATAGAACCTTTTGAAAAATACATTACAATATTCTATCAGTTTATCACTATTAGAAAGACAGCCAAAGTGGCCCAATTTCGTTGACATTGAGATAATAGGTATTTTATATTGTAAATTGTTGAACTGATAGAGATATTTATTGAAATTCAAGTCAATTAATGAAAATGTTTGTAAAATAAAAAGAAATATAAATAAAATTTAGTGTTATGTAGTTACTAGAAGGTCCACAAGCGATCCAAAAATGCAATACCGACCACTGGATCAATGAAAAAGCTAATTTAAATTTTTGCTACCCACCCAGGAAGGAATGATCGTTACGAAATCAGCATCACGTCCAATAATAATGATTTTAGGTCCTCGATATTCGTAAGGGCTCTCCGCATCTAAATGCTTCTTTGTGTCCGCCTCATTTACTTAAATTCGATTTGGGATTGAAATCGGCAGATTTAGATAAACCGATGCAGAAAAAAACAAATATTGAAACGAAATTCTTCCGGATTGCCAATGAGATAGATTTTAATTCGTTTTAACAGTATTTGGTAGAATAATTATAAGCGCATCACTAGGTTTTGATTGCCTAAGTGACTAAAATAAATCTGCAAGGCTTTCAGATTTAGTAAATTAATTTCATCCCTCTAATTTGCTTCTCTTCTAGTTTTATTTTCATAAAAAAAAACAATATCTTTTAACAACATTTAACATCAACAATTAAACGACATTATTATTAACTTTTTTCTTTCTTTTCAGATAAAATGGTGACAGTAAAAATTTTACTGGCGTTAGCGCTATGTTATGCTGCCGAAGGCATTCACCTTAGTTACCGATCGAGTTTGCACATTACTGGACTTGCAGCCACTTTAGCGAGGGTTGCAGCATTTGGCTCCCAAACTGAAGGACGGCGTGTCACTGGATTTGGGTAAGTAAAGACAACAGAGATGTCCTAAAGACTAGCTTGAGCCTATTCGTCTTACTATTACTTAAAAAGAAGGAGGTTATGAACATCAGTATTTTGCTGACAGCTTCATAAGTGGTAGTTTATAAAGCAGTTAAACAAATCTTTTAGGAACTAGGAGACACTAATAGAGGCTTATGTTTTAATCGATGTTTCATGAAGTTTCTAACGTGACTTCTAAAAAAACTAAAGAGAGAGACACGACAATTTGTTTAGTCGAAAGATTAGTGGTGGATTCTGTGAAAGATTGTGTGGTAATGTGGACACTGACTTCATAAAATATTTTAAAGTATTTTGTACGTTTTACCATTTCATAGTAAATATAAATAATTTCATAGTAAATTTATTTTTCTTCATTGTTCTGGATGACAACGCAAATGTTCAGACAGATTTAGTGAAGTGTGAATCTTTATAGCATTTTTTATATGACGTGTATAATGTCAAACCAAGCCCGGTTTCTATGAGATTATCCATTACTTTATATTGTATGAAAAATGTTTCATTATTATACCGCAAATGCATAATGAAGAAATAAAACTGACATAATGTACAGAGAAAATTAATAATAGTGCTAAACAGATTTAATTACAATCCAGCAATTTTACATTTTTTTCACAACTTCTATTGTTATCTATCTAGCTTGTTCGCTAAAACAGGCCTTGTCTAGAAATCCATGAGAATGTCGTGTTGCATAAAGAACTTTAAAGGATTTTTATTCCATGAATTTCTATTTGTATTAATCGAAGTAATCAACGCATCTTTACCAACGCAGTGGCAGTTTATTGATGCTTTTCTTAAAGAAATCAGCTGGGCGGGAAGCAAAAAATTCTTTAGAGGCATTTTGTACATCTCGGGTAATGATTTTTTTCCTGCCAAGGAGTTATCCAAATTTTGGAAAAAATAGTAGTCTGTAGGCACAATGTCTGGTGAGTAGGGCGAATGACTGAGAACTTCCAACACATCTTATTCTACTACCAGTTATTTATACTTAGGTACCTATTTACTAACTTAGAGTCTCTAAACATCATAAAGCTTTATACATCCGTGATAGGACTAATATAATGGCATAATAAAAACACCCCTTTTTAACGTCCTAATAAAAAGGGAATTGCTTTAAATGTGACAACCCTATGGTAGGGTTGCATCACACGCTATTAAAATACGCTCCTAACATTTGCTATTTGAAATATGGGCGCAACCCTTGCTTACGCGAAAACGTTCTAGATAAAATTTATAATGCTGATATTTTTTCCTTTATTTTTTGTATCTGGTTTTTATTGTTTTTTTTTTCGTTTAGAATATCACTCACAGTTAAGCATTCCATAAATTATTTTACAACTATTTATGAAACATAAAAAATAATTATTAGTTATCAAAAAATAGTTAAATAACCTGATATAAAATAGTTCAGGTAATTTTTGTATCACCCAAAGTTTACATTCTTAGTACTCGTGGTTGCAATCATTAGATATTTTATCCTTTAGTAGGTAGTTTATATATGAAAATATTATAATGTCTTTGTAACTGAAAAGTAATAAATAGAGAAGTATGTAAATGTATAAATCCTAATTATCAAAGAATATTTTCTTTTATATTTTCTTATGTATCGCGCATGTAATACGTACGCATAATAATATGTAAGTACCTATGTAATAGAAAAATCGCGCCATAATAGGCGTGATTTTTCTTAGAAGACATGTTCTGTAGCCTATTCATGTTTCCCTGGAACTGCAAATGTATAAATACCAATACACGTTCTACTTTTTACGTAATTTATTCAAAGGTTCAAGTAATAAAGTTAGTTTTTTATTTACTTGTAAATAGACATTCATTGATTATTTGCCTTTCACGTATTTTTCTTGATTTTTCTCACGTTTTTTTTTTGTTATCATTATAATTGACGCATAAGTACGTATAATGGGTAGGTCAAGTTTCACCTCTCTCAAATATCTTCTTTAGTTTTTCAACCTTATACTTTGGAAATAACGTTGAAAATCTAAAGAAAACATTGACAGACTTGGAATAGGTCGATGTGACTGTACTTCTATATTATAATTAACTCAAACAAAAACTTAATACATTTTTCTCCACACAGTTGTAGCAAAACAACTCCTAAACCTGATACAGATCAGGACTCAGCTTCTAAAACCTGTGGACTTGCACCTACAAACTGCACGAAGTCGCGTTACAGAAGCGTTGATGGTTCCTGCAATAACCTTGAAAGACCAGTTTGGGGTTTACCTAATACGCCTTTGCGTCGGATTGCGCCTGTTAATTACGACGATGGTACGTATCAGACTTTTCGCTCGCGCCGTCATCTTGGAAAAATGGCAGCTAAAAACGGGTTGTATGTAATATTTCTTTTCCTGTCCATTCAAAAAGAAAAACGTTGACTATAAAATTAAATTATTTTCTACAATTTAAGTCTACACAGATTTTTTGTAATATAAGTGGTTTTGGCGCCAGAGCAAAGCAAAGTAGGTACCTACATTTTTCTGAGCAATTTGGGAAAACAAATAATTTCCACACCACGTGAATGTAGAGCATCCGGCGGATTTTTTTATAGTATAATTCCTTATAAGCCTAATGCATATATAGTATCCATTCTATCCATCCAAAGTCCATTTGAATCAAATAGGTATAGCAATTGAAATCTATCAGGCGTCATTTTCCGAGTTTTAAACTATCATCGTACTTAATTCTTCTTAAATAGCTTTAATGGTTTGAGAGACAGAGAGACCCAGAAGTTTAACGCAGTTCCTGCCCAGTGGTATTTTCGGTATAGAAATACCATACGTCCTTTCTAGTGCCAGTGTCAAACTCACGTTGAACCGAATTTTAATCAAATAGGTTCAGTGGTTAATAATATTAGTATTCACCCTCGGTTCCCTTTTTCCTCTCTTAGTAAATTTACTATGCCTATGTTATTATACTTATTAAATAGCCTATGTTCATAATGGATAATGCATGATTCCAATGGTAAAAGAATTTTTCAAATCGGTCTGGTAGTGTCAGAGCCTATTCAATTCAAACAAACAAGCAACATATCAAATCTTTCCTCTGTATACTATTAGTGTAGACGTAGATAGAGATAGTGTGATAAGTTCATTACCAACAAGCTAACTATCTTATAGTCAATCAATTGAAATTGGCGTCTATTCCTTAAGAAGGTGTCGTTTTGAGAAATGATTGTGACGGTCCTCAATTAATAAATGAAGATGGGATTTATGGGGAAAAATATCCCCATATGATTGTGAGAGGTGTGCCATATATTTGTGTGAGAGGTTCGAGAAATAATATTTCTAATTTCGTGTCGAATATAATTTATTCACCAATATCTAATATATTAATTCTAAATTTATGTATTATATGGTAGTTTTTCTGACTTTTCAATGATTTATTATGAAAATGTTCTATTTAGATTTCGAGGAGTTTGGTATTTATTGCGGTTGTATGGTTTTGGTTTGCAGGTGTGAGTGCCTTAAAGGCCCATTCGAAGACGGGCCGACCTCTGCCGAATACCCGTGAACTTAGTCTACGACTATACCCTGACCTGCAGGTTATTGACCCTGTATGGACCCTAAATACACAACAATGGGGACAAATTGTAGCCCACGACTTGTCACTATCAGCTAACGATATAGAAGCTCGTAAGTCCTTAGTTTTTGATTCGAAACAAGACGTAAACAAAATGTTGTACACATAATTTGTACAATCAACTGAAGTTTTGGTGTTTAGGCTGAATATTATTGCTAGCTGTACCTACATGGACAAAATATTCTCAACCATTTTACTCTATTTGAAAATTACTGAGACTTAAGATGTTTTGTTGATTGTACACTTGCTCAATACTTGTGTACGTTTATTTTTGCAGTACCTATGTATATTCGTGCAGTAGGTACTAATTTTTTTTTTGACAGATATAGCCTCGTTGGCCGAGTAGTCGCAAGTGCAATTGCCTGTCAAGGGGTCTCAGGATCGATTCCCGGGTCAAGTAAAGTATAACTGAGTTATTAAAAAAAATCTCATTAGTAGCACTGAGTCTGGAATTTTTTTCTCCATATATGGCAATAGGCTCACTCCCTCTTACATGGGACTCATAACTCTAGCCCTTCGGATAAAAGGCGTGATGTTATAATGATGATAGATAGATATAGTAAGTTAGCTAAATTTACTCATATTTTAATACATTTTATTATGAATAACTTTCTTTCTTCTAATGTTTCTGTTTTATACGATATGTGATATTCAGAGACGTTAGTTTTTTAATCTATGTGTTACTAAATTGTACGTTTTTTTTTCTACAGCGGATTTCAATCCACCGAGTAAGTTTGAATGTGTATGCGTAACTAAAACCATTGTTGTGTTACATCACCAGTCTCATCATTTATGTGTATCATTAACATCTTAAATTATGTCTGTGTAAATATTTATTATAGCATGTATTTATTATGAAGTAAAATTTCCTTTAGATGAGTATAATAGATCAAGTGGGTAGTTTCTCTATCTCTCTTTCTTCTACTATCTGCTACTATTGAAGCTATGTTAAAAGTTTGTCAATTATATCATTTAAATATTGAAATAAATAAATTTTGTCAATTATACCATTTAAATATTATTGAAGTATTGCCATTAAATCTCAAAAAAGCATAACTCTCACATACTTATAGTAACATTTTGACTACTGCTTTTTCGGTAGGTAGTTATTAATTTACTTTCAATTAGATGCGCTTTATTGTTTGTGTCGCTTACTAACGGTTTGAAAATATTTTGCAAACTCTTTGACTTGTGTTTTCATCTCTTTAATGGTCAACTACACGAGAAAGCTTACAATTTGACTTTACTAACGAAATCACAAACTCAGTTCATTAATCATTATGTTAATCAGAACAATGTATTTATCAACGAAAATTAAGATACAAAGTCAAATACTAGACTACCGTGCAGTTGACCTAGTAAAATGGCCCTATTTAATACTGAATCCTTTTCTACCAGATAAGGGGTTGACGAACTGCTGCGATGACAATGGGAAACTGACGATTCTTGCTCAAACGGTCCCGTTTTGTGCTCCCATAGTGATACCTCGTAATGACCCTGTTTATCCACGAGAAACAGAGTGCATAAACTTTGTAAGGACGGAAACGACTAAAGATAGAGGATGCACTCCACCTAATGTTGCTGCTCAACAGGTAAGGATGTTATAGATAGATATATAGATTTATTTGGAAAGATTTTTCTTCCAAAAAATAAAATAATATTATTACCTAAACCGAGGTGGCAAATGTTTGTCTTAGGTATCCATGTATTGACATCATCTCTCATCACGTAAAACGTCAAAAATTTTAAATAAGAATATTAAAATCTACGTCTTTCTAAGCGCGAAATAAAATATATTTTTACTTCTTCCCTAGTGGAACAATCCTCACTCAACAATTATCAGAGGACAATACTCTGATAATTAATGTTCGACTAGAGACTTACTAAGCTACTAACGCGTGTTGTACTTGTATTAAAAAATGAGAAAAAATAAATGATTTAATTAGACTTTTTCGTAAAACTGGTACGAACCCACGGACGTAACGATAATTTTTGGTGGTAGACAAAAGTACTCATATGGAACATTGACTTTTTGTTAGCGGTTATGTTTAAGATTCATAATATATATAGGTTACTAAGGTCAGCTTAGAGGGTATGCTTATTACTCACAATCGCTGTTTTAATCTCTAATAATTAGCACGTCATGGGCAAGAAAATAATGCCTTAACAAAATTTTCTCTTTCAAATATCAAAGTATCAATTAAAATTGTTGAAAATCATCCCCTAAATTTGTTCATACCAAAGTAGTCTCTAAACATTGGAAATAAGGTCTATAATGTAGTTAGTAGAAAGCAGTCACCGGTGACCGCTTGGGGATATATGGGTTCTCGCGACGTGGCGACTGTCGCCGCGTCGCGGGTTGCGAATTGCTGCTCATTAATATGAGCCTCTAGCATAGCTTGAAACTAGTCGAGTTCCTCGTCAAACAATTACGTAAGTAAGCCGAAAATATAATTTAATATTAATTTAGTATGTCTCACGAAAGTCTTAAATTAAAGTATTATTTGGTTTCGGTTTTATATTTCCAAAAAGCCTGAATAATAAATGCAATATTTTGTCTAAAAGGCAATCGTATTTATTAAATCATTGCAAATAGGTCCTTAGAGACGCGTATCGTCTCATTTTTGTTTCTCAGATATCAGCGTAATATTTCACTACCAAAAGTTAAAGTTATAAGGATAGCTAATGAAAAACTTAGGTTCAATTGCCATTACACTATTTAAAGAAAAGATGACCTCTATAGAAAGTTTGAAGTAATAAGTAGGTAACACAAATAGGTCGAAGGTTGGTTGACCTGGTATTTCTGTTCCGAAGTTTGATAATAATATGACTTCTACTTCAGTAGTTGGTAACAAAATAGTTATTCATAATTATTATTCTGATTAAGATTTATGTCTTTTACTACTTTTTACTGCCATATAAATTAATTCAAGTCAATCCTGTTACAACACAAACAATTTTAATCTTTATCCAATAAATCGTTAATTGAGATCAAACATTATATTTTTTGTAATTTCCTCCCTTTTAACCCTACACGTGTTTATTCTTGCCACCAGCTAACGTCAGTCACAACCTTCATGGATCTCTCCACTGTCTACGGCAGCAGCCAAAGTCAGGCCAATGCCGTCAGAGCTCGACGAGGAGGTCGTTTATTGACCATTGTGAGAGGAGGCCGGGAATGGCTACCAAACAATCCTAAACCAACTGTCAACTGTGAAACTGCGCGGTTACCTAACGAACCTTGCTATTTAGCTGGTAAGATATCAAATGATCTTTACTTTCATATTCCATCTTCTATAAAGCAGGTATTTTATAACAAAGTCGCAAATAACCACTAATGTAGTACCGCATTTACCTAACATAAATTTCCTAAACAAAACAAAATGACATGAGGTCTGTCCATTATTGTTACTCAGTTCTGTTTCCACCAAACCACAATAGTTTTACTATCGGTGTGAAGATTTGAATTCTAGGACAAACCTACTTCATTTTCGTCCAATTGTCACAAGAATGCAAACTTAAAATAGCAGACTTCAAAAACAGGACAGGGTTAGCAGCTAGACATAGCGTTTGACTGCGTGCAATGGGACTAACTGTAATGTGCTTTTCGAAATGGGAACTCCTATTCACCTCGTTGCTTTAATCCAGAATCTATACGCGGAAAACTACTTTTTCATTAGGATAGGCACTGAATGCTCCAGTATGTTCCAAATAAAAAAGGAGTGAGACAGGGCTACATTCAACCTATATGGACTCTTTAATACCTATGGAGAATATATCATTCGGAGGACTATCGAGAACTGGGAGAGGGGATTTCCGATAGGTGGAAAAAGACTGTCGAACTTGCGATATGCTGATGACACTGTTCTTCTCGCTACATCTATGGAAGACATGTTCGAGATGTTCCAACGACTCGAAGTGGAAAGTCGCAATATGGGTCTTGAAGTGAATAGAGCGAAAACTAAGATCGAGCCGAAAAATTGGAGCATGTCATATGCGGCGTTCCTGGTATTAATATCGTCGACCGTTATATATACCTGGGCTCCCAAATCTGCAATGATGACAGTGGTGTTTCTGAAATAAAAAAAAACAAATTGGGATAGTCAAGGGTGATATGACCCGTCTAAAAACTTGGAAGGAATAGATATCAAAACCAAGATCAGATTGGTACAGGCTCTGGTATTTCCTATCTTCCTGTATGGAGTGAAGATGTGGGCTATAATGGCGCGAGAGAGACAGAGGAGCCTTAGAAATGTGGTGTTGGAGGCAAATGCTAAGAGTACCTTGGACAGCAGAGTGCACCAATGCATCAAAATTTTAGTGTGGGGTAACGTTAAGAAAGAAAAAAAAATCTTGTCTATGATTTTTATGTTCTATATCTTTTAATTATCAGGTGACGCCCGTGTGAATCAAAACCCTCAGTTGGCGACTCTCCAAGTCGTGCTGCTGAGGGAACATAACCGCATCGCTGACACGCTGGCACAACTCAACCCTCACTGGAACGACGAGACTATCTTTCAAGAAGCCAGACGTATCCACATTGCTGAGACACAACACATCAACTATTATGAATACCTTCCTATTCTGTTAGGTAAGTTGTTCTTTATGCAGCAAAATTATATAGGCGGTCTTAATGCCTAAGGTATTGTAGCCAGGTTTTTGGGTGAATCAGAAAACGTATGAATGTCAACTGTATGATTGTCTTAGGTATCAATAATCGAAAATGTGTGTTTACCGATTTTTCCTATATATATTTATCTGAAATATATATTGTGATATATATTTCGGAGACGGGAGATATCTCACATTCAATGTCAGTGAATAGAGAATCCCAGTTGTGATGTCAGGAATACCATATAGGCGTTATGACGTAGGTAGCCAATTAAATAATAAAATCTTCGATATTAAATCATTGATTACTTCTACACATTGCACTTTTATTTCAATTAAGCTAATGATAGGGATAGGGTATTTTGTATTGACTACTCTGAGAAGAAATGCCAAAACAAACTCTAAGGTCTCCGGTATGAGGTCTCTGAGGTGTCTTAAATAAGAGTTACCAAACAATCAGAAGTCTTTGTTTTGTAATATTATTAATTAAGACCAGGATGACAAAAAATAAAAGAGAAAACTGCCATCTTAACCTCAAAATTTAGATATATATGTCGTGGATAGATGGCGCTACGGTGCAACGTACAGCGCCATCTAACGAATTGATTCATAGACTAACAATCACGTGATCAGAAACGCAAGCGCGCCCCACCGCTTGGATACGATCGTCGGTAGAGAAGGGATGTGGCGAGGACGGAGGGAGAATCGATCGTTGGATCAGTCTAGTTGAGACCGTCTTGGAAAACGCCCGGTACCAACGCACGTGTCTGTTTCTGAAATTGTAAACCGAACAATATTTATTGTTGGAATAAATTAATTTTAAATCAAAGTCGTCTTTCGCTCGAGTACCCATATAGTGCCCACGTGTAGCGATAACCATGTCGGATCATGATGAAGACCCGATGCTTCGCAATTCGGCCACCCAAGACGCGACATCAGAACTGGGATTCACTCGAGCTGATGAAAATATGGAGAATGGAGCGATGACGTCACGCGGTGACGAAAACTTGCTGCGTACGTTGCTGGCGGCACAAAATCAAAATATGATGGCCCTCATAGAAGCTGTCAGGAGTCCATCAGGTGCCAAGCATATTTCTTTGCCGGAATTTGACCCAGATAAACCGGACGTGGACGCACGTGCTTGGTGTACTACAGCAGATCTGTGCTTATCGGAAGTTCCGCTTCATGGAAGTGCGCTAATAATCACCTTAAGCAAGGCCCTAAAAGGAAGTGCTTCACGTTGGCTTGCACAAGTGTCGTTTGCGGGCATGACATGGGGTGACTTCAAAAGCTTGTTTTTATCCCGGTTTGATTGCGTGGACACACCAGCCGCTACCCTCGTCAAACTAATGAATAGCAAGCCTAAGGAAGGTGAATGCTATGCCGCCTACGCCGCGCGATTGCTTTCTACACTCACATCGCGCTGGCAAAACATGAGTGCTGAGCAGATAGCCATATCTACGGTGCTGGCTCACATGGCACAATTTGATGGGCGTATTCAGAGGCTGGCCTTCACTACTGATGTCAAAAATAGGAACAAGCTGCAGTGTGAACTTCAAGCGTTCTCATTTTTGAAGAGAAAAGCTCCGATTGGTAACATAACCGAGGCCGCACCAGACTTCAAGAGATCAAAGTTGCAACCGTTAACACTGAAGTGTCACAACTGCGGTAAACCAGGTCACCGAGCATTTGACTGCCGTTGGAAAGGTGAAGTGAAGGGCAGAGCAACCAATGCTACCACTTCAGCGTCAACTTCTACGGGTTCGAAGCAGCGGTCGGATATCATCTGTTTTCGATGCGGCAACACTGGACATTTTGCTGCCAAATGTCCACTAAGCAATGGCGGAGGTGCTAGCGCACGGGGCTCAAGCAGCTCAGTGGCAGCGCCTGCAGCAGCAGCGAGCAGCGATCGTCGCGTTGATGTTTGCTATGTTAGCAATCCCGGTGGTGTGTTGATGAACTCTGGTGAGTCGTATCCATTTTATTATGATTCTGGCGCCGAGTGCTCTCTGATTAAAGACAATGTTGCGTCAAAGTTTAGTGGCAAACGGGTTAATAGCATTGTAAATTTAACGGGAATCGGTCATGGTAGTGTACAAAGCACCTTACAAATTCTTTCGGAGGTTATGATTAATAATTTGCGATTAGAGATTTTATTTCATGTTGTACCGGATAGTTCTCTCAAAAATGATATTTTAATTGGGCGCGAGATTTTAGATCAGGGATTTAACGTTAGTATGTCATCTGATAGTGTTGTTTTGTGTCGTAAAAAAATTGTTAGGTTATGTGATGTCTCAAATAAACACAAGAGTGATTCTCATTGTCAAATTGATTTCGGCCAAGTTAATACAGACGTTCCGAGAGAGTTCCGTTCCCAATTAATTGATCTTTTATTAGAATATGCATCTTCGTTTTCTAGTGGTGTTTCTACATCCCGTGTTACAACAGGACAGTTGCAAATAAGGCTTATAGACCCTAGTCGTACAGTTAACCGTCGCCCTTATAGGCTTAGTGCTAGTGAACGCGAAGTAGTTGCTTCCAAAGTTCGTGAGTTGGAGGAAGCAGGTATAATTAGGCCGAGTTGTTCGCCGTTTTCCAGTCCAGTGCTGCTCGTTAAAAAGAAGGATGGTTCGGATCGTATGTGCGTCGACTACAGGGAGCTGAATGACAACACAGTGTCGGATAGGTTTCCACTGCCATTGATAGAGGATCTCTTGTCTAGGTTAGGAGGTGCTACATGGTTCACATGCCTTGATATGCTATCAGGTTATCATCAGATCCCAGTTCATCCTGAGTCAATAGAGCGAACTGCATTTGTCACACCTGACGGTCAGTGGGAATATTTGACCATGCCGTTCGGTTTGAAGAATGCAAGCTCAGTATATCAGCGAGCAGTGACGAAAGCATTAGGTGACCTTGCTCATAGCTATGCTGTCGCATATGTTGATGACATTCTATTGATAGGGTCGTCTGTGGAGGAGAGTTTGGTGCGTCTTCGCACTGTTCTCGATAAATTGACAAACGCTGGTTTCTCTCTGAATTTCGCAAAATGTTCATTTCTTAAGCGACGAGTTGAATATTTGGGCTTTGTTATTGAAAATGGCCAAATTAGACCCAACCCTAATAAAATTGTAGCTTTGTCCCAACTTCCCCCACCTAAAACCATCACTCAGCTGAGACAGTTCATAGGTCTGGCCACTTATTTCAGACAATTTGTTCCACAGTTCTCGAAAATCATGGCTCCTCTGTTTCGGTTGACAAGTGGCAAGAATAGGTCTATCAGTTGGGAACCCAGCCACGAGGCCATTCGACAGAAAATAATTTCTTATTTGACTACTGAGCCAGTTTTAACAATATTTGACCCTGCGCATGCTATTGAGTTACATACCGATGCCAGTGCTGAAGGGTATGGTGCCATTTTTATTCAAAAGATTAATGGAAAACAACATGTGGTTGCTTATTATAGTCGTCGTACGTCCCCAGCCGAATCGAAGTATCATTCATTCGAACTGGAAACTTTAGCCGTCTTTAATGCTATTAAGCATTTTAGACATTATTTGCTAGGTCGTAAGTTTACCGTTGTGACAGACTGCAGTGCTGTTAAAGCTTCCAAAAATAAAACTGATTTGTCTCCGCGAGTTCATCGTTGGTGGGCTTACATGCAGTCATTTGAGTTTGACATTATTTATCGCGAAGGCAGTAGGATGAGCCACGTAGATTTCCTTTCCAGAAATCCTCTCCCTACATCCAAGGTAGTTATCACTCGGGTAGAACAAAAACGCGTCAATTTAGCTGAACTTTCGAGTAACTGGTTGCAAGCCGAACAGGAAAAGGACGAAGAGATCTGTAAGATAGTGTCTGATCTGCGTAATGAAGTTTTTCCTGAGGAAACTCGCAAAACTTACGAAATTCGTAAAAACATTTTGTTTCGTAAAGTTCAACGTAATGGTCGTACTCGATGTCTGCCTATTGTACCTAGAGCTCTCAGGTGGTCTGTAATTAATAACATCCATGAGTCGGTTATGCATTTAGGATGGGAGAAAACGCTCGAAAAGATCTACGAGCACTATTGGTTCAGCGGCATGTCGAAATACGTTAGGAAATTTGTGGATAATTGTATCACCTGCAAGGTAGCCAAGTCCCACTCAGGCAAAGTTCAGGCAGAACTTCACCCAATTCCCAAGTTCAACGTTCCATGGCATACCATTCATGTCGATGCTTCTGGCAAACTATCGGGTAAGAACGACATTAAGGAGTACGTGTTTGTCATCATAGATGCGTTTACCAAATTTGTATTGCTTCGTCACTCACTCCATATTGACACGAACAGTAGTATTTGTGCCATTAAGTCTTGCATAGCTTTGTTTGGTGCACCGAAACGGATAATAGCAGACCAGGGTCGTTGTTTCGCGAGCAAAGATTTTTCTAGTTTCTGTACTGCTAACAATATTGAGTTGCACTTAATAGCTACTGGAGGCAGTCGTGCGAACGGTCAAGTCGAGAGAGTGATGAGTACCCTCAAGGGTATGCTGACAGCTGTAGAGACTAGTCGTGATCGATCTTGGCAGGACGCATTAGGAGAGGTTCAGCTGGCTATGAACTCCACTATTAATAGGGTAACTAAATACAGCCCCCTCGAATTAATGGTAGGAAGGGTAGCACGACCGCTTAGTCTAATGTCCGCTATTGATGACGAGATGGGCGTTAACTTGGACGAAGTCAGAGAGCACGCGACGCAAAATATTGAGAGAAATTCTGTGTATGACAAAAATCGATTTGATCAAAATAAGGCTAAAGTGTCTAAGTTAGCCATTAATGATTATGTTTTGATTGAAAATGAGGAAAGAAATCAGACTAAATTAGACCCTAAATTTAAAGGTCCATTTAAGATCATTGATGTGTTAGACGGGGATAGATATCTACTAAAGGCACTTGACTCTAAGCGAACGTACAAATACCCCCATGATCGTGTAAGAAAGATCCCCGATCACCAAGTGCCCCGAGAATTAGACGTAATAGTTGATGACGGTGGTATTGAAACCAATTCCGATTAAAAATGGCATGTATACTCATACTCTGAAACTGTAGACCGCATCTCATGAGTAACATGGGACGATGGGTCGAAACTAGAGACCGCACCTCATGAGTAACATGTGGCGATGGGTCTGAGAAATCGTTGGTGCGATTTCTGTCTGTGTTGGTGCACAGAGCGCTTCATGTGTTGTAGCACATATTGCGCAGGATGTTTTGAGAATCGTTGGTGCGATTCTGATCTGTGTTGGTGCACAGAGTGCCTCATGTGTTGTAGCACATTTGGCAGAGAGTCTGTAAAGAGTCGTTGGTGCGACTCTGACCTATGTTGGTGCATGGGTTATGACGAGTTGAGTATACACTGGCCTTGAAATTTAGTTCAGACTTGTGGTGATGATTTTGCTTTATTTGACTTGTCGATCGGGCCTCTTTGAATAAGTAATGTTGTACACACTATGTAGAAAACCCTGACAACAGGGAATTTTATTATTGTATGTACGTAGAGTTAGCGGAAATAAAATGTGATGAGAATTAGCCACCTTCTTTTGTATTGGCAGGATAGCCGAGCTAGTGTATCCTCAGAGCGTATTTTGTCCACAGATACCACACCCGAGGACGGGTGCTAGCCAGGGATGGCCGTGTCGTGGATAGATGGCGCTACGGTGCAACGTACAGCGCCATCTAACGAATTGATTCATAGACTAACAATCACGTGATCAGAAACGCAAGCGCGCCCCACCGCTTGGATACGATCGTCGGTAGAGAAGGGATGTGGCGAGGACGGAGGGAGAATCGATCGTTGGATCAGTCTAGTTGAGACCGTCTTGGAAAACGCCCGGTACCAACGCACGTGTCTGTTTCTGAAATTGTAAACCGAACAATATTTATTGTTGGAATAAATTAATTTTAAATCAAAGTCGTCTTTCGCTCGAGTACCCATATAGTGCCCACGTGTAGCGATAACCATGTCGGATCATGATGAAGACCCGATGCTTCGCAATTCGGCCACCCATGACGCGACATATAAAAATATTTGTAAGCATTTTTCGATTTTACTTAAGTGTAGTTCCGACAAATCTTCGTGTATGTACATTTTGTTTTATGAATTAAAAAGTTTGGTTTTCACCAAGGCTCTTTTAACGTCGTGTTACTTCATTAAAACAAAAAATACGCAGTTACCTAATCTGAATTGTCTATGAATTTCCTTCGAATTATGTCAGTTTTTATAACATCTGCCTATTATACAAGTTGTTCGTACATTGTGTCGTGACTAAAATAGTTTTATTTTATTATGAACCTTGTGTATCTTGTATGCAGGTTATGAAAATATGGTGAAGAATAAGCTCATCTACCCTGATACTAATGGTTACGTTAACGACTACGACCCTGGAGTGGATCCCTCTATCATCAATGAATACAACACAGCTGCCTTCCGTCACTTCCACTCCTTGATCAGAGGTCATTTGGAGTATGTATACTCTTTATTTATTTTCGTATATAATATCATCAGTTTTTTTACCTTTATTTATATCATTATAACGTTAATTAGTTCATTTTTGTCCCCTTCTTATCGAACTCTATATTTTGGTATATTATTCTTTATGTATCCAAATTCTTTCAGTCACTTCAATTTATAGCTAAATGTAGGTAGGTAGGTACGCTACTGTACGTTTGACTAGATGTGGTCTCCACTAATTTCTTTTAAATTGTTGTTACTTCTGACAACAAGTTTTAACTAACTGTGCAAATAAGATTTGTCTTGTGACGTTAATATTATTTATTCTGACTTAATTTTCAGCTTATAATATATCTCTTCTCTACCCATTTAATTTATTTTGACTGCACTAATTATAGCCATTGTTTCGCGATTAGGAGTCAAAATTCATTATCATGTTTTTATTAAATTGGCGCCAATGCAATCACGATGTACATTTATTGACTATCAATATTAATGAGGTAGGAAATTGCAATGGCCGATCTATTCAGGTTCATTATAGAGGTCATCATACAATGTAATTAGGTTTTTCGATAATTTTGCATTTAAAAGTTTTATTTTTTGTTGCTTTTATTTTACTCACGTAGTATATATGCGTATGACAATTTTTGGAATCCATCTTAAAGTTGGCTTCGAAATTAATATCCCATAATCGCCAAAGGATTTCAAGAAAATATATACGTTAGCCACTTTTAAATACCGTATAATTATTCGTTACTTTTATTATTTTACCCTTTCAGTTAGCCTCTACATCGCTCACTATCGATTAAGATAGTTGCCGAATGCTTAAGCATTTTACCTCTATTTTTACATATTGTAAATGTTTTTTATAGGTTAGTTTCAGAAAACCGTCGCACCATTGGAGCCGTGCGCCTGAGTGACTGGTACACACGGCCTCTGCTGTTGGAACTTGACAATGCCTTCGATCACTTGGTTCGAGGACTTACAACCCAGGCACAAGACTCCAGCGACCAGTCCCTCGATGTTGAAATCACTCAGTACCTGTTCAGGTAAGTGAAACCTACTTTAATTTTTTGAGTGACAGACACATTTGTTAATATTTCGGATCACGTTTGCTAGTTATATTACCTGTCATAAGTAGCACCATGCTTACCTATGTAAAACTTAAACATTATCTACATTAGAATTTTTAAAATATTTTTTTTATTGCCGGTACCTATATGTTGAAATGTCGTAATCAATTTATCGTTCCTCATAATCCACTACTCATCTCTTTTGTTGCATATAAACCAACGTATAAAATAGAATGAATTCAGATGTTTCAGAGTTTATGAATAAATATTCAAATTAAGGTACTGCAATCAGAAAAAAAGGGTTTTTTTTTTTTTTTTAAGGGGGGAAAATCATCGAATGACTGCCCCCGCCTGGGTGAGGCGGGAGGGAGTGTCAGACTCTTACTGACTAAAAACCACCCCGTTCCTTCTCCTGCACGTCGAGCCGGAGCCCCGGTTACCCGTTAGGTTCTCCGCGACAGAAAAAAAGGGTTAAAGTCGGTCCGTAAATGCCAATGATTTACGACGAAAACAGTCGCCGAAATTGTGCTGAAGTTTTTAGTACTGTATGGAAGATACGAGAGAAATTTATTGCTTCATTAATATTAAAACCAATCGGGGCTGATATTACACCATCAAATTGAAATGTCTATAAAGTTGATGCTAACATCAACTTAGCAAAGCGCTATTTGGTTTGAGATGAACTGTCAAGGTTTTAAAGTAATTTGAATCATATGAAGTGTATCAGTGTCGTATTTTGACATCCATAATATGTTCAGACGTGGATAAGTATTACGAAAACCTAAATATAGCTACCATTTCGGACTATTCACCGTGATCCTCCTCTTTCTTGAGTCTTGGTCTCAGGGCGAAAGGGTTTTTTTTTAATGGCATAAGCCGGTAAACGAGCAGACGGATCACCTGATGGTAAGCAATCAGCGTCGCGCATGGACACCTGGAACACCAGAGGCGTTACAAATGCGTCACCGGCTTTTTGGGGATTAGGAGTTTGAAGATCGTTGGGGATTGGAGGGATTGGGGAGATTGGGGAAGGGGAAGGTAATTGGGCCTCCGGTAACCTCACTCATATGACTGCTCACTCACAAAACTCACAGGGTTGCGAAATACTGGCTCTCACGAGTCGATATGTGAGGCATTACACATCACCAATAACAGAGTAAATGTTAGAGAATGACTTAAGACGTTATGGATTTAAGTAGTCCGAAATAAATAAATTGAATTGAATCGAATTGAATTAAAGTCCGCCATACATTATCATTTTTGTCTGTACAAGAAATGCATAAATAAATAAACCATACAATTTAGTTTAGGAACTGCTACTTAAATCGTATAAACTGTCATTTATTTATTTGTAAATGACAGTGTACCCGATTGGATACACGACTAAATAAAATGTAGATATGTTATTTTTTGTTTAAAGTTTAAAGTTTCTTCGTCACAATCAAAGTGAATTATCAAAGGGATTTATTCCGTGGTACAATTTACAAAGGATGACAGGATTGCCAGTAAATGACTTCAAAGTTCATATCATTATGATTTTGACAACACGGTACCAGGAAATATTTTCACTGTAGACTCAATTTGATGTTGGTTGGTTTCGTCGATTAAATTCAAAAAGGAACACGTGTCTATAGGATTAAATACTTGGTGATTAATTTTATAAAAAATACCATAAGAAAGTGACGGGTTTGATTTCTGGATCGCAATCAAATTTTTTGAAATTCAAAGTATTGCAGACGTATTGTAATTTATTTTAAAAATTCTGTAGTTATGATTTACAGCAATAGGTTTGTTTTCTATTACATGAAATTTACAACCAAACTGATGGAAACTAGGGTTTTACATTTTTAATAGGAAAACAAACACAGCTTACCTTTTCGGAGATTCAAAACACGGAATATTGAATAAGGGATCAAACGTTGTTAGGCAATTATTATTGCTCACGTAGATACATGTTGTGATAACAAATGAATGGTCAATCACAACATTGTTCTCACCCCAAGCGATTTTAAACCATGTTTGCGTTAAACACTCACGAATTAATTAAAATTTTCGCATGTTATCGAATAAGGAGTTATTAAACAGGTCACTTTTTATTAATGTTTGCATTTTTGGTTCATGGTTCACTGGATTGGAAAAATTACTATTAAAATTTTTGATTCAGCCGCTTAAAAATAACACAAATAACATCACGCCTTTTATCCCCGAAGGGATAGGCAGTGGTTCACATTACGGCACTTAATGCCACTGTACAATGTAACATCCACTTTCCACTATTTATGTTATGAGTTCCATGTAATAGGGGTTGAGCTTATTGCAATATATCGGGCACAATTCTAGACTCCAGACAGATTGAAATAACAGAAGGTTAATTCGCCTATACGTTTCCACCTACCAAAGTTTGCCTGTTTGCATCGCATTTTATCAATCGCCAGGAATTAACATAACATAACATCACGCCTTTTATCCCCGAAGGGGTCGGTAGAGGTGAACATTACGCCACTGTACAATGTAACATCCACTTTTCACTATTTATGTTAGGTATGAGTCCCATGTAATAGGGGGTGAGCCTATTGTCATATACCGGGCACAAATCCAGACTCCGTGCTACTACTTAGAATTAAAAAAAAAACAGTATTACTTTGCCCGACCCGGGAATCGAACCCGAGACCCCTTGCCAGGCAGTCGCACTTGCGACCACTCGGCCAGCGAGGCAGTCAGCCAGGAATGAAAAGATAATGAAAACTAGTAATATCAAGCAAATATGTATTTCATGCTACTAATGTAGTGGTAGTTTACTTATTTTTGGGAGTTTTTAAAATGCCTTCCGTAATATGGAAGCAAAGTGATTGTATGGACGCGAACACTGAACAGGCAAACTTACCTAATGTGGTGGAACTAAATATAATTTTGTTCATTACCTCACTAGTTTATAATCATCATAGTAAAATCAACAGCAGGAGCATACATCCTTTAATTTATACGTTAAAGGTTGACTGTTAGAATAGTTAGAACTATTTATTTATATATTTAATAGCCTATAGACATATAGATGTCCGTAGGCTATTCGAAAAAAGATTAGTAAAATAGTAGTTTATGTATACAGATATAGATAAAAATGGCATAAATCTGAAATATTCAGACTGTAATTTATATCTGTATGTTAATACGATGACGATACTAATTAACGAAATTGTATATTTCGGTCAGCCATTCGGTGTAATTGTGTAATAAGCATCTATTCCTCCCTAAAACATAAGAACCACCTAACAAACTCCTGTATTCACTTTCAAAAAATCCTTCGTCATATCAGGTTTAGCCTCAAAATCAAATATAAACATGTGTTTTTTTCTAACAGACGTAACTATACTTATGGAAGTGACCTGCGTGCGAGAGACATTCAAAGAGGTCGTGACCACGGTTTGGCTTCATACATCGATACTAGAGCTGCTTGCGGTCTTTCTGTTCCTAAAAACTTCTCTGACATGTTGGACTACATATCTCAAGAGGTATGTAAAGTTATGATAAGAGGTATGACCGAATGATCGTTGATCAAATGGGAGTCATGATGGTCAAATTCAGAATATACGTGAGTGCATAAAACTAGATGTATTAATATTTATATCAATATTTTGCTATACGAAAAATGACTTTTTTCCTTGATTTACAGTCTTGTCGTGTCGGATTTTCGGTTTATCGGGTTATGCTAAAGTCAAAGTAAAAGTAAAAGTACAGAGTGCATAATATAACCACCGCGTAGTCTCTGCTAAGATGTCGCCGTAACCGAAATCAGTTAGAAAATGTTTACATCTTACACGATAATGTACTTCTGTGTATCTAATATTACCAAACAAGCTATTATATTAGACCCAAATGAAAGTTATGAAGTTTCATGCAAACACGTAACATGTTTAGGTAATTATGCCAATTTATTACGAGTATAAATTTGTTCATAACATGTGGAACAAAACATGTACGGAGGTACGTGATTCCAGACGGTACCCAAAACTTTGTATCAACTTTTATCAAACAGGGTCCTAGGTTCTCATATCTAGACAAATAAAAATAACTAACAACAATAAATTACGAATTATCACAATAAATTTTGAGTTAGGCATCTGTGAGTTCTCTTAAATAAGTACAAAGATAACGTTATTGAAAATACGCTGAACAAAGATAGTAAAATAGTATGGTTTATTTTATTCAGGAAAGGCTGGAAGGATGCTGATTAAAAATGAGTGTCTGAGTAGTTACGTATTAAGCTTAGGAAACTTGTATATATTTATTTATTTGGACATCCAGTTGTTGCTACATTTTTATCATTAACTTAAAATTAGCAATTAACATCTTACTGCTAATGCACAACATTTGAAGGACATCACAGCATGCGTTGAGTTGAGAACACTATATCAATTAAGGTACTACATCTAGTACATTTTTGAATCTTGTGTAATACTGCTAACAGAGAATACTACTACTAAGAAACCAGTAGCTTTTCTCATTATATTCACGTAAGTAACCCGCAGTTTTTAGTTAATTTAATATGTGTCACGATAGTTATTATAAAAAGAAATCATTTTATGAATTTCGATATCAAGACCAATATAATACTTTGCCAGAGTCATGAATAAAATCAAACACTCATGCTCAGTCAGTATATCAAATACTACCTCTAGACACCAGTGTACTAAGTAGACTATTTCTATGTCTATTCCTCTACAACAAAAATAAGAGCGTTTATTTATGCATATCACCTGAGTCTCTTTACATTTACCTTGCCTACTCGTGGAAAAGTCTTCGCTTAAGAGGTCTGAAACTTTTTTATTTGTGTGGATTTGTAAACAGGAATGTAGATGAACGAATTATTTACTTTAGCACTATTTTTAGGACCACTTAATCCAAATATAGACGAAATGAAAACTCCAGGGAGATTCACTCATGTGTTAATAGGTTGCTGAGAGCAATTAACTGTACATATTATAAAGGTGCCTTTTACGTGGATATTAGTTAACTATTTTGTATATTACTTGTTTTACTGTAATTGACAATAGATACGTTTCGACTTTCTCGCTATCTGGCTACTAGTATACATACATACACCCCTCCCTATCATATAGGCGATATCATTTTAAAGATGGAGGTAGACGCACCTTAGCATTTCAAATAAAATAAACAATTCAAAATTTTTGACCATTTTCAATTTATAATTTAGTAGATGGTTTGCGCTCTTAGTTGTTAGCACTACCTGATCTATTATAATCCCATCGCCCGCTGGCGTCACAAAGATTAACGTCGTGAACTCGTTAAGTGTTATCTTCTATTATAAATCCAGTTTACTGTGGCTGATAACAATTAAGGCCAGACTTGATGGGTTTGACGGAAACCTATTAAATAGAAATGTTTGATGGCAACCGGCAACCACTAAGCAGTACCTACTTTGATCATCTTTAGAGGAGAAATCCGATGTAATCATTGGGATTTCGCTTTGTTCATGTATTTGTTTTGGGTATTTGGTTTTAGTTACTGTGTATAATATTTGCTTTTCCCTATGGTAGAAAAGTAACACGTAGACGTATCTAATAAATTATAAAAGTTTAGGACCACGACTACACACAGGTACAGGTAAAAATTGGGACCAAAATCAATATTAATTTTCACACTGACAGAACACACACTGTTCGATTTCATAAGAAAAATAAAATAGAGAGTTAATAGCAAAATCTGATTTGATAATTATGATCCACACTCAGGTTTAGCTTTACTAACTTCAACACGTGATACTAACTGAAATTTGTACTAATGACTATTAGCCTAAATGTTGTTTACTATAACTATGAGGTATTCGTGGGAAAATGGTCGATTGTGGGTTTAACCACAATTTTAGTAGGTAAACAATACGCCTCTTATGATTTTCTCAACCGATAGTAAATTGTGTTATTATTAGTACCCACTTGTAAGTTACTGCGGTATTAGTATCATATGAGTTAATATTAAGTTTAGAATAAGAGGAATGGAGGTATTCAAGCTTTATATGAAGTCAACTGTAACTGTGTCGATTATTAGACTGGATCCGATCCCTTGGTTGAGGGACATAGTGTGGGATTTTTCGATTTAACTGATTCTGCAGCATACATTTTGGAAATGTACCTCGGGATATGATAAGACTTATAGACACACATGGAGCAAAGTATTTAATAAATGCACCAACTGTCCCATCTTCCTAAAAAAATAAAACGAATATATCACCTACTGTCAACCATTTTTCCTGTTTTCCCAATAGAACGTGGCTGCTCTTCAAAACCATTACGCATCTCTTGAAGACGTAGAACTGATGGTTGCTGGTTCTTTGGAGCGCAACGCGCCAGGAGCTCAAGCTGGACCGACCTTCGTCTGCATCATCATGGAGCAGTTCTACAGGACACGTGTTGGCGACAGATATTTCTATGAAAATGGAGCTGATCCTGACATTGCTTTTACACCAAGTAAGTGATAATAAAATGGTTTTATCAACATCAAGACGACGTGTGCGAGACGAAAGCCTCACCTTAGTCCACTGCGTCCTCATCGTATTTTTCACCAATGTAGGTGGTTTACTAAAGGATAAACGCACAAAATTTGTTCACAAAATTTGTGGCCACGTGCGAATGTGCCGATGTTATCAAAACAAGTCTTCCCCTACACATGGCCTTACTTAATTATTTTCTTCAACAAATCTTGTTAACCGTAGGTATGTCCTGTGCATTAGAGAACAAATGGCTCGTCACAAAAATTAGCGTAACATATGGCTAACCATTTCTTGATTATGTCATACAGGAAACATCATAGGGATTCGTGTTGACATACACAAAGATATTGTTGTGTTTGTCTGAAGATATGATCACTTTTTGGTTAAATTGTATATTTCTTTTCGACAGACGAATAACTGCCCCAATGTGTGTTAATGAACGATACAAGCAGGTGATTTCTAGAACCATGAGTAAAAAAATAATTTTTGATAGAGAAAGTTTATTTAGTACCGAAAAGGATCAAACTGAATTATATTAGGGTACCTTTTTGTACGTTACTCAAACTACAGAGTCTCTCCATAATGTGATAAATGACGAAAAACTACAAGGTTCCTTTGATAACTATTATGCTTTATTAAACAGGCCAGCTCGACTCGATACGCAAGGGAGCATCAATAGCGCGGCTGCTATGTGATAACAGTGACGGAATACAGTCTATGCAGCCCAGAGCCTTCCAAAAGATATCGCACACGTAAGTATGGCTATTACTTACAGTCCCGACTTTTACAACTATGCCGCAGTGTAAAGAATTCAGAAGTTTGCTAAGGATTCTGCAGTAAAGGGGGCGACCTTTCCAAAATAAATCCCCCTTTTACCGCAGATTCTTATATGACAAATATTAAAATAAATGTACTTGTAGAGCCAATATAAAAGGTGTTACGGTACTGTCCTTAAAAATATTATGCAACATTGTATGTTTCTTTTATTTTAAAAGTGATGCACACATTTTAATTCCTGTGTGTTTTGTGGTCGTTGACAATAAATTGTGATATATTGTCATAGAAAACTACTGCTGCATATTATTGTATCGTGGCTTCTTTAAGTACCTTAGCCCATAGATATGGAATATGTTCGTATTGATGTCCATTTTGGGGAGTTTAGAGTTATTGTGACGATCGTAATGTAGTGACTATATTGTGCGTACATAGTTGTAGTGACCGCGTGTGAATAATATTTTAAATTACTTGGAGCCTATAATGAGGATTATTTCCATTATTTAACTACAAGATCGTCACTATGTTAGTGCATCCACCTGTAATTTAAAACAGTGAAAGAAATTGAAAAGTAATCTTGTATTTGTACTAATTATGGTGTATTTTTTCCAGGAACGAGCTTGTACCATGTGATACGCTGCCAGCTATAAATCTAACCCTATGGCAAGATGTATAAGGCTAATTTTAGAATGTAAGAAATAGTGTTAAATAACTAAGAAAACAAATTAAAATGTCACCTAGAACAATCAAAGTATAAATTAATTTTTTCAAGTGTATATTTTTTTTATTTATTTGTACAGATTTTGACACTAAGTTGTATAATAAAGTGTGAACATTGCCATTTTTTTCTTTGTGCTATTTTAGAATACGTAAGTAAGTACAGGTTTTATTGACAAAACCTAATTTATTATTATTTATTTATAATAAACGGTACATGGTATGCCTTATAATCTAACGCCATGTCCATTAAAAACTATAAACAAATAGTTTGACTGTTGGATTGAAGGAAAACAAAATGTAAAATACATTTTGTTTTAAATTAATATTTATTATAATAATAGTTAAATATTTCTATACATATTATTCCATAATGCTTTGTTTAAATATATATAATTATGTTAATACTAATAGAATGTATGTATTATCATATGTCTGTATGTATATCATAGTTTAGTAGTATGGATATTGTTGATATATGTAATTGTAATGGAGTGGATAATAATATATTTATCAATACTAAAAATATGAATAGAACGTAAGAAAGTTGTATGTTTGTAATACTGAACTAATAAAGAAATTCTTCGTTTACTTATAAAGAAATTTTTAGTTTTATAATTTAGCTTATTATCTTTTGTTTCTATCTCACTCTCTCTCTGTTTTTAAACTTTTTTGGCGTGCATGCCTTATGTCGAATAAACATATTTCACTTTATTTCAACCCGCATTGAGCAAGCGTGGTGATTTATGCTCAAATCTTCTCCATGTTCTCCTCCAAATACGACCAGCTCGACAAATACGACAGACACGACCGATACGACTGACACGACAAATACGACCGACACGACAGATACGACAAATACAATAGATATAACAAATATGGCCGACACGACAGATACGATAAATACGACAGATACGACAGACAAGACCGATACGACCGACACGACAAATACGACAAATACGGCCGACTCGATAGATACGACAGATACGACCGACACGGCACATACGACCGACACGACACATACGACCGACACGACAAATACGGCTTACACGACAGATACAACAGACAAAACCGATACGACCGACACGAAAAATGCGACCGACACGACACATACGACCAACACGACAATTACGACCGATACGACAAATGCGACAGACACGACCGATACGACCGACACGACAAATGCGACCGACACGACACATACGACCGACAAGACAATTACGACCCATACGACAAATGCGACAGACACGACCGACACGACAATTACGACCGATACGACAAATGCGACAGACACGACCGATACGACCGACACGACAAATGCGACCGACACGACAGATACGACCGACACGACAGTTACGACAAATACGGCCGACACGACAGATACGACAAATACGACAGATACGATAGATACGACCGACACGACAGATACGACAAATACGACAAATACGACTGATACGACAAATATGGCCTACACGACACAATGTAATGCAGACTTTCGAATTCGAAGATTTTACGTGATGCGCGTACAAACAAACAGACAAAAATATCAAAAATGATGGAAATGGTTTCTGTTACTTATATTGTAACATATTGGCTATTTTTTTTTTGTCAATTTCTTCAATATACAAAAAAATATTATATGTATAGATATTGAACAGTGTTTTACTTTATAGGAAATGTACGAAAACATCTTTGATATATCAAATTATTTGGAACCTTTTTCCGAGTTCAAGTTTTGTAATTTCAATATCAATAAATATATAAAACGTTCAAAGCGAAGCTTTCTTTGGCAAATGATCAAAGAAACGAATATGTTTACAAGTTAACAATTTAAATTTTTTTTTTCAATCGAATGTTGGTTAACATTATGCTTAGGGGCTACTTCATCACTATACTAAGTTGTTCACCTTTTCTAATAAGAATGAAGAACAAACTTGGTTTTTTTACTTTTAAATTGTCTTTTACTTGTCAAAAATAGACCTCGGCATTATACGACAACTTATAAATACATATTTTTTTTTCTTTATTTTATTTAGGGACTTTTATACAAATGTACCTACATGTCAGTCCCATCGGACCTTATAATCTTATAAATCTAATGAATTATATAACTACAGTTAGTAAACTATACACTAAAACGCAATAAAACAAACTTAATTAAATTATTCGCGTCCTTAGTTAGGTGTTGACAAAATAATATGATGGAACATTCCAACATTATACTTATTTGTCTCGAGCTCTCTAAACAATACTTCTCTTGCAGACTGAAATCTGACATTATAAATACATATTATTATAAAACTTCTTAGGAATGTTGTACTTTTTCGTGGTGTCAGTACATTTTGTGCATTCTGATCTGTTTCTTGAACAAAAGTGTAAATCGAAGGGATTTTTAGCTGCAGTCTTTTAGTACGCAAAGCTAACCTCACCGGTGTTTGTTCGCCACTGATTCTTAGTTCTATAGTTTATTTATAAACTTACTTTTATAGAGGTAGTAATGTGATTAGCTGGAGCCTGCATTAGACCTAAAATGCCTGTATTTCAAATCTCCAGGTCTAGACCTCACAAAAGAACAAAAAGTGTACAACAAGTACAAGTACACAATAATGACCGTGGCTCCTCCTACTAATATTGGTCCTTGAAAACGCTTAGTAATTTCATTTTTGTCCGTTGAAGCCTTTACTATGAAAATTTGCAGTATTCCTTTAGGATACAATCATGTGAACGGTAGGCTAGTGTCCAGTAGTCATTGTGTATGACGTCATAATAGCTTAATGTCTTTGAAGATATGGCATAATTTAGACCTGTCACTTACATTGCACTGTGAGGAGTGGGAGTGTCATGGCATTTGCCACGTCTGATATTAATTTATGTCATCGAATATGAAGACTCGTTGGCCTAGTGGTTGCAAATGCGACTACCGGGCAAGGGGTCTCAGGTTCGAATTCCTGATCAGCAAAATATTAATGGGTTATTAAAAAAAATCTCAGTTGTAGCACGGTATATGGCAATAGACTCACCCCCTACTACATGGGTATCATAACATAAATAGTGAAAAGGGGGTTGTTATATTGTACAGTGGCATTAAGTGCCATAATGTGCACCTCTGTCCACCCAAACCAATAAAAGCCGTAATGGTATGTTCTAGGAATATGATATGACTGAGATTATAAATGCTCATCGTATAAACCTTTATAGTTTATACGCTCGATTAAATATCATTTCGACTGTGTAATTGTGTTTATTCCCTTGAGCTTTATTACGCTTAAAGTTTGTACAACTATCAAAACAGAATACATTGGTAGTTTTCATTGCAGACATTTTAAATTAAATAATTTAACGTAAGTAATACATTTACGTAATATGTTTATGAATTTTGTGTCAACATTATTTTCAATGAACATGCAGAATTTTATTAGGATTATATATATGTCGGAGAAAATGCACCCATTGGGGGGTACTTCGGAAAACGGATTCTTTGTAAACGCGGTATGTTCGGTACGGGCTGGCAGAACAACCGCTCACCCTCGTGTCCAACTCAAAAGTGACGCCTTTCAAAATGCCAACATGCCACGCCCCGTACCGACCATCACCCAAGCACACTGCTTGACGTTTCCGACAAATGATAACAGATGGCGTTGTTCTAAAATAACGATACTCGATAGCTGTGCATCTTTGTTGATTCTGCGACATATATTTATTTATATGTATGTATATATGTATATATATGTCGGAGCCGGTCATAAATTAGCGGATTTCTGGTGCGCATAGGCAGTCATGGCGTCAGATTCGCACTCGGTGGACCTCACTTCATCAGTTCGAGTCGCCACCGAGTGAAGACGTTGTCACGGAACTGTCTAAGCAACCGCTACATAATCATGCCTCTTCCGACGTCGGAAGAGGGATGAGTGTTGCTGCCTTCGACACATACATATCGAGGGGTAACGGGCTATTTGGTTTAAGCGACATTTTGGGCGATATTGAGTTATATATATATATTCGGAATCAGCGAATTTTTCTCCGTCGATTGATGCCGCGACATTTTGGGCGATATTGAGTTATATATATATTCGGAATCAGCGAATTTTTCTCCGTCGATTGATGCCGGTTTCATTAAAATCGGAGCACTTTTTTGGCGTTTCAAACAATTCTATTTTCGTGTTGTTTCCAAAGTGACAGTGTATTAAACGACATGGATTTCGCATTTTTTATTAAATTATGTACTTGAACCATACCATCATATTAATAACCGAGACATAAACCAGTCACCCTATCTCTAATTAATAAGTCAAAATGAGTTAAAGCGTTTTTCCTGTTTCTAATTTTTACTAGCAAGTAACTTGAATCATTTTGACTTCCCACTAATCACACGGTGTGTTGTCGCTTAAAACATTTATCCGTCACCCAAATACGACATGGTTCGTCTCTTAAACACTTCTAGCTGCTTTTATTTTCCACGCAGGGTGCTACTTAAACCAAATAGTCGTTTTCGTTCAGATATTTTGTTTAGTCATAAATCATTTAGCCCTCCTTTTTTTTAAAATGCATGTCGTTTTATACAGATGATAACATTAATAATGGATATTGAAACATTTTGCCAGTATTCATAAAAATATGAATCGGTCTTTAAATCACTAAATTTTAATATGGTACATTTCAATCATGTCATATGATACTATATTTATTTCATCGCCCGGGTGTTAAAAATCGTGATCATCCAACTGGACTATCGTGCGCTGGCGCTTCAGTCACTCCAGAATGCGTCGAAGACAGACGGGACGCGCACTCACCGCCAGTGTTTACGTAAAACGCTCATCGAAATTGAATCCTAAGTACTTTAATTTCAAGATCAACCTCGCGGTCGTCCGAAGACTTTGGTGACAATAGGCTATTGTGGAAGCTGATGACATACAATCTACGGCTGATTTAGCAACAGCTTTCGACGTTAGCATCAAAACAATATTGGTCCATTTACGTCAAATTGGC